TTTCTCGAATTTTATCTAATATTGGGTGGAATTGGGCTCGGACCAGTTGTCTATCACCTGGCTTTAATGGCAGACTGTAGCCATGCACATTCCGCACTGTGCCTTTCTGCTTTCACATTCAATCCTCTTCTACAAAATTTTCATGCGAATATCTCTTCTTCTTTTATAGGAAAAGACAGCGATGAACACTCTGCCTGTATGATGCATCGTTGAATTTCCATTCTGAACTGATAGAGATAGTGGCCAATGGCCATATATCCACACTTGCAGCAGCAAGTGGGGCTAAATTGCTTAAAATGCTCAAATCTTTTCACCATTTTATAAATGATATGTGAAAATTTAAGAGAGTGATTGATTTTTGGGGCCATTCTTCTTTGATGATAAGGTTGATTCGAGAAAGATTTAGGGTTATTTCTTGGCTTAATATTTGTATTTAATGGCGGATTTAAGGAAGGCATGAGAGGGCACATGCATATTTATTCTCTCTGAAATTTTAAAAATATATTTATATGTTCTATATTTTTTCTTGCATAAATAGAAAATTTTAAAAATATTGATGGTATTTTTAAAAAAATAGATAATTTATGTCTTCGCTATAAGAAAATCTACTAATCTACTAATAAGGATTGATTTATTTGGAATTTACTTTACGTCTCGCCAACTTGACCTAGACCTAACTCAAAAAATTTGGATTTGGGTTTGGGTTAACCTATTTAATAAATAGATTAAGTTCGGATCCAGAATTTCGACATTTTTATGAAATGGGTTGGGTTCAGGTTGACTGGCCTACTAATTCGATTTTGACTCGAAAATGAACCGTTTATTTTTTTTCCTTTTATTATTTTGCTTGTTGATTTGATTTTCTTATTTTTTTTTAACAACCAACTTAAACTCTATAATTGATAAGTTACAAAAAAAAAAAATTATATTGAATCAAAATGCACTTTTGGGTTAGGTTTCGCGTATCAGGTTGCCAACGGGTTAAGGTTCAGGCTAAGTTGATTAGGATCGGATCAATTTCAGGTCAAACCTATATCTGACTCACTAAATCATTTTAACACCTCTGTTCTTGACAATTTTGATAATTTATTTATAATTTTGTTCTTGGTTCAATCCAATATTCTAAAGCTCAACATTAAATTCATTTAATGAGAAATTCTAATTTAAAAATTGTCTCAACAACATCATTCAATATTGTACCAAACTTATTGTGATGGCGTTAGAAACATAGAATGCTTGATTTATTTTTGTGAGAGTGTAGGCTTGAGAGAGATATTTATAATTAATGCTTTTCACACATCACATGAGGGTGGTTTATGTAATTCTCAATTTGTTAATATGAATAATTCAAGAAAAAGGTTAAGGTTTTGTTTGGTATAGCTTTTTCATTACTTTCTAAAATAATTTTTTATTACAAAAAAAATTATAGTCAATAAAATTTTGTGCTTAAAAACTGTTTTAGAAAACAATAAAAAAACCATCACAACCAAATATATTTTGCACTATTTATTGTCTCAACTCTGAGAAAAAAATTGAGATATTGATATTAAGAGAGAGAGAGAGGCATGTGGGGCCCATGAAATAATTTTCTTATTAATTTATGTAAACTTTTAAGAATAAGTTTTTTCTTATTTTCCATTGCTAAGATTTCTCATGCAAATGTTTCTTCTTTTAATTTTAATTTTTTTCTTTTTTCAATTATTTGCGTGTGAATGTGATTCATAGACGACAAAATAATTGAAGGCATTTTTCTATCACTGTATGCAATAATTCAACTCACAAGACAATGTTGACAAAGTAAGATGCCATATTTTTCTTTTAATATTTTAACTCTTTAGATTATGAATATAAAACTTTTGCTGAGTAGTTGAAGAACTGTCAATGTTATTAGAAAATCAGCACTCCAAAAAAAGGGTAGCTCTGCACAGTATAATTACATTCTTTCATGGTTTGAAATTCCTGCTTACTACATTGTGAATTCTTCTTTATCTGACCTGTAAATCATAGAGAATTCCAGATGAATTTTAGGCATCATTTGGGACAACTTTCTTACTACTTAACATAAATTTTTAGTATAAAAACTAAAAAAATTTGTACTAAAAAGCTATTTTAAAAGGCAGCAAAAAAGTCACATAGAACAATTTTAAAGTAACTTTTTAATATAAAAATTTTAATTTTTTGCTAAAAAAAATTTACTTTAAGAAGCAATAAAAAAAACATCACGAACGAAACCTTAATAATTTTTTTTTTTTTATTTAAGAGCTTACAGATTCGAGCAGTGTGTTTATCATTAAATTCATGCAAAATCCCTAAAAGAAAACTTTAGATTAAGGCTTTGTTTAGAACAGCTTTTTCATTGCTTTCTAAAACAACTTCATTGTAAAAAATTCTAATTCAAGAAATTTTTTAACTAAAACACTGTTTTAGAAAGCATTAAGTGTCCCAAACTAACCCTAAAGCTTCGTTTGAGACTACTTTCTTACTATTTCTAAAACAGTTTTCTTGAACTAAAAATTTGTTTTAAGAAACAGTAAGAAAACCGTCCCGGACGAAACCTAAGCTTTGGTCGCCTAAAGCCTTTCCCAGCTGGTGCTGCTAAAGGGTTGAAGTTTCTTTAATTAAAACAGGACTAACAAAAAAATTAATTCCTCACTTCCAGTCTAATAACACTACTTAAAAGAGCTTCCAAACCATCAAAATTCGAAGAATGCATGCCTATACATTTTGTGAGAAGGATGGTGCCTTCTTTTTTTCTTTTTTTGAAAAAAAAAATTATGATTTTTATAATAATTTTAGAAACTTTAATTTCTCACTGCTGTTGCCTCTTCCTTAAAAATAATTAAAAAATAATAATTATTATAATATTCACAATAGTTTTAAAATTTTTAATTTTCTCACAATAATTTATAACTATTTTTACAAATAAAACGGGTATTTTTTTATTTGGGGGATTTACACACATACCATTTTATTTTATACTATTTATATATCTAAGACCCAAAACATTAATATTACATGTCTACCACCTATATAAAACAAATGTGACTGCATAAAAATTTATAAGGTGGTATGATTAATATATTTGATATTAAAGTTGTAAATGAATTGTAGGCATATAATATTAATGTTTTGAGTGTTAGATATATAAATAATATAAATAACGTGGAATGTATGTAAATCCCTCTTTTTAGGGGAATTTTATCCTAAATATTAGCATCTTAGTGGTTATTGTGCACCTTAAATATGAGGTTTCTTATTGAAAAGAAAGCTCTCTGCCAATCCCTCCACAGCTATTGCACCTCATATTCTCATTCATTTATAGCACATTTTACTAAGAACATAACATTTGGCACAACTAAATCATCCAAAATAAATAAATAAATAAGAGTGCAGTTACAAAATTTGATGAATAGTATATATAATCTGTGTGCGTGTGTATGAGAATTCTCTGATCATGCAGCAAAGCTTATCCTTAACAGTGAATCCTATCCAAATGGCAGATACTGTGGGGTAATCCCTACAATGGTCCCTTCCTCATCCTTAAATACTCTACTGTCAGTCTCAGTATCCTTTACGCCTTGACCCACCATTCATGTCAAAATATTATATAAGCAGCTCTCCTTATATAAGAAATGATAGATAACCGTCGATTATATTAATTATACAAATCTTGATGCATGATATAGAGCAATCCATCATTCCTGATCACCATAAATTGGCTTTCATGTATCAGTGGCAATATATCAAATACATGGCTGAGGGAATCCACATATAAAGATTCTCCATCAGAGGCATTTACTTTATTCAATTTGACATTATTAAAGGCGCTTGCTTTCTGAATGTGACCGATTACCTTTTTTCTTTGTCTGGATTCCTAACAGTTCTCATAAAAAGCTCGAAAATACTATGGACAAAACTATTGATGAAGAATAATTAGCTTCTGCTGATGTCAGGGCCAGCAAATTATTGAAAATGATTGAATTAACAGAACTGTATTATGAGTGGAAAGATTAGGATTCAAGAGATGGTTATTAGAAATACCTGAAAGAGACAACAGAATGAACTTACTCCCCAGTGAATTATTTGGTGGAGCAATAGCCTGCATGCTTCCTGGAACTCATCTTTCTACAGCCTGATATACCTTTCATAGCTTCAATTTTTTCAAATCCTGCCTCAATCAAACCTTGCATTTCAAATATGGATATTTCTTTTGAATATGCTAACACTAGGGACCGGTTCACTGCTATAGCCGCCAGCCCAAGCCGGGGGTTGGGGGGTGGGGGGGCGGAAGCCCTAGTGGGGCCCTTTACTTAATTAAATTGTGTTTAGGAGGAAAAATTTAAATTATGGGCTGTTTAGGGATTTTATAAACTTCCTTTGGCTTTAATTAGTCATTTGGGGGCTAGGATTAGGATCATCTTGAGATTTGCTGAATTTTGAGATCTAGGGTTTGTTTTGCCGGCTTCAGGCTTTGCTAGAGATTTGGAAAGTATTTTTTCTTCTCGAATTGAAAAAATTTATATCTTGTTTTATTTTTCTTGTTCGTGGATTGAATCAAAGTATTTCCTTTGAGTTTCTTCTCCAATTTACTACAATTCCTGTTTGGTTTTTGCTGATTTCTCTCTGAAATCAGCCTTTTTCTCGCTGTTTTTTCCAATTCTGGCTAGGTTTGCTTGCAAACTCAAGTATTACCCTTAGGATTACTTACGAACTCAAGTACTTCCTACAGTATCAATGTTAAAAGAATCCAGGATTAACAGCTTGATAAGAATAGCCAGTCATATCTAACTAAAGGTATTCTAATGAGCCAAACTTTTATCAAAGAAATTGGACGAGTACGAGAACTTGTGGTACGTATCTGTGGGATATTCTCACTAACCTGCTTGAACTGGTGTGCTAATTGCTTTACCTGAGTGGTAAAATTAATTGTGGAACTACTACTAATGAAAATATAAATAAATCACACGGTCAAGTACTACTTAGGATGAAAGGAGGGATTATACAGTTCAAACATTGAAATACTACATTGATTGTTCTTTCATTTCAAGAAATAACAATGAATTCTGCATTGGAAACATTGAGATACATATTGCGAGTATTAGGTATAAATATTGACAATCATCTCAATATACAAATGGAAAACCTGGACAGCAATCAAGATCAATGAAGTATACTAATTGGCTAAAAGTTGAGCAAAAAATTTTTTGCATGAATTATAAATAGTAGTTCAGATAGCACTCAGTAATACATGGAGAAGAAGGTTTTGTAGGAAACTAACGGAAAATAGTTGAATTAAGCTAAAGATCCAAACAAGCTCCTACCAATTTCATGATTATGTATGTATTCCTTTTGTCTGCCGACAAACATGGTTTTTCTTCCTTGCATGTTCACTGTTGTGATGCTGTGTGCGACAGCCATAACCATACCAGCAGTTCTCCCTTCCAGCTAAATCAGGTGGGTAAAGCTGCAGGAGAGCAATGCAACAAAGCAAATCAGCACGACTATTTAAGAATGAAGTTATAATCAAATGAAGCTATAATCCTTTTGGTGCAAGTTTATCCCAGTAAGCATAGCACATAGGTCTGTTTGATTCGACGTTAAGCATTTGGAATTGGTTCAGCTGAGTTCTTTAAGTGAGTTTCGATAATATTTATTTGTTTTGCATGAATGTACTTCTAATAATTTAGATAAAATAATTTCTGGAATATGCAAAAAGTTTACAGGTATTGCATTTTAAAGTATTATATCATATTTATGTAACAACAAAAAAAACAACAATAAGCTTTTATTCCACTACATGGGGTCAACGACATGAATTATTTTTTGCCATTGTGTCCCGATAAGAGTCAAATTCTTATTGAAATCTAATAAAAAAAATGTCATTTATAATACTTTCTAACCAAGTATTTTTTAGTCTAATTCAACTTTTCTTAACATTGGCTAAACATATATATCTACTCTCCTAACAGGTCATTAGAAAGCCGACGTTTTATGTGACCAAACCATCTAAGGCAAAAAAAAAAAAAAATCAAGGTGACTTCCAAACCCTCACAAGTGGAACTTCTCACCATTATGAAGATGAGCATCAACAATAGGAACTCGGTTTCCTTCACTTTCTACCGAACAAATATTGGAACTCAATTTCAGAACTCAGTTCCAATCATCCAAAAACATATTGGAACAAAATTTTGGAATTTAGTTCCAATCATTTCCTAACACTTGACTCAAAACAAATTGGCCCATAATATTAGTTGAATAGGCAGTTCTGGCAATTGAATGTCATCATGGGAAGAATATCAATACTGAATAAACCTGTTGACAGGTCGAATTCAAATCAGATTTTAGGTCAATCCACATCTAACCTAAAGGATACACAAAACTGTATAGGCCACACTCTCTTCAACATAATTCCTCTATGTTCATTTCATCTCCACATCTTGACAGCACATCTTCTATCTCCATCAAATAAAAGATCAATTGCATAGTAATTTATTTCCACGTTGAACAGACCCTAGTGGACAGATTAGGGGCAAAAATATTTCTCAATTTCTTTCAGAATCACATCTTAAGCTCACAATATGCAAGAATTCATTATGCAGCCAGCCATGTTGCACAGATACGCCTATTTTTTAAGGCGTGCTGTATCAGATAAGTGTCGGACACGGATACACGCCCAATACGGCTAGGATCCGTATCTGATACCGCATCCCTTTAAAATAATATTTAAATTTAAATGGATATGCGTATCGGACACACGTATTCTATTAAATAATTAAAAAAAATTACGCGTAGAAAAAGAGCCGCCCGGCGCCCAATTAAGCGTATTCAGCATTCATTTATGCGAGCAGGGCAAGCGCTTTCACATAACAACTTCCGTCTCTTTATTTGCGGGAGCAGCCGACGACAAGGAAGGCAGAATGCGCATGCCTATTCATCAATTACGGGAGTAACCATGCCGTTTTCGTCGTTTGCGGGAGCAACCGACGTGGTCTTCATCGTTTGCGGGAGCAGCTGTCGCCAAGCAAGGCCGAACGAGCAAGCTTCTTCATCGTTTGCGGGAGAAGCCAACGCCAAGGAAGGTCAAACAAGTGGGGTCTCCGGTCGTCTGCTTCCTCTTCGTCGTTTGCGGGAGTAGCCAACACAAGGGAAGTCGTGAGAATCACGTGAGGAACAAGCAAGCCAAAGGAGTGAGAGTCTAGCAAAAGGTAAACACAGTCCGTTTCGTGCAATTTTTTAAGGTTTTAGCATTTTGTTGATTGTAAGTTGCAAGTTTGGATGGATAAGTTGTATGCACAGTGATTACTTTGAACTTATTTGATGAGGAAATCGTCAGTGATTTCGACACATGTACCACCGGAGATCGACGGCGGCCACTATCAGGAGTTTATATTTTGAGTCATTTTATGTAGTAGTTTATTTTATTTTTTAGTTTTCTTGTTTTACCCTTATGGATGATCATTTGATATTGTAGCCCCAAGAGCATTTATGTCTTTTAGTTTTAGTTTCATTTTGGCCTATTTATAAAAGGCCTAATGTATTGTATGATGATGATTATTTCTTTCTCTTGTTGATCTCTTTGTGAGTTCATGAAATTTCTCAAGATTTCTTTGTGAGTTCTTGAGGAAATAGTATTGTGGATCTCTTTGTGAGTTCCATTGGAGAAGGTGCCTGAGGTTTGATTGCTTCAGATTTTCCCGATCCTCAAAACCCCTCTTCCCCTTCTCTCCCTAGCCGAATTTCTTCTCCCCCCCCCCTAAAATTTCCCCCACTAGCCTTAATAAGCCCACCACCGGCCACCTAGGCCGATCCCGCCACCGGTGGTTCCGCCAGTCTCCTCGGCCGGATGTCGTCCCGCCGGCTCCAAGCGGCCGGATCCTGGCCACCAACCTTGCCGCCGGCCCCTTATATCCTCGCTCTTGTTTGAATTTCAAATTTCTCTTGATTAATTCACTTTCCTAATTAGCTTCTCTCCAAAAAGAAAGTCAATTAAGATGATTAAAGCCTATTTTGAAATTCAAATTTTGTTTCCCTCTCCTATTAAACCTATTTGGGAAGTTACTTAAAATATAATCAAATCTGAAATTAAATTTCAGATTTGATTAGGTTTTTATTTACTTAACCTTGGGCCCCACTTACTTAACTCAGCTTCTCTCCCCTCCCTCATATGGCCGGCCCCTTTAATGGGCTCTTCTCTCTCCCAAATTACATTAAAAGCTCCACCAAATCAGCCCCTAATTATCTCCACAATTAACGCCCCTAGTCATTATTGGATTAATTTGAAATTTCAAATTAACCTCCCTCCAAAATCACTTGAAGCTGAAATTAATTTCAGTTTTCTAAATTCCTCCCTCTCCCCCTAGCTCACGGCTAAGCCCTCCTCTCTCCAAACTGCCACCTCCACTTTTCTCCTCCCATCCTTGCTTGGCCGAGTTCCACCAAGAGAAGATTCTCCTACCGCCAAATACATCCACACCGCACAGACATCTCATAGTCATGAATTGCCGATCCGGAGCGTGATTACGACATTGCATACGATCATCAAGGCGATATTGATGTCATCCGATCACCGTTCTTTGACGTTGGATTCGGCTCCGACAACACCTTTGAGGATTACTTGAATCGGATTCTTCCCCACCTTGTGGACATCCTCAACGAGCAACTTCCGGCGGACGAGTGGATCATCAACGGCCGAACACCTTCTCCAAATCTGACTTCCTCCCCGGCGGCTAGCCCCCTCGGCATTACTTGTCTAATAGTGGCATCATTGAGTTTGTGCGCCATCCTCTTCCGCTAACCAAGTGAATCCAAGAGTGAAAGTGAGGGACTTCGAGGTGAAGGATCTATATCTTAAGCCTTAGATTTTTGTTGAGAGCCATTTGCTTTATTACTTATTGGATTAATTTTGTTTATTTCATGTTGCTTCTAAATGTAATTGATTGACGTTGCTTAGTTCTTCCATGGAAATTTCTTGTGATCTATGTTGAAAAGCATTTGTTTAAAATTAGCCATGCAAGTTCACAAGTATTAATTTCTAACAAGCAATTCTTGTCTATCGCATTTAGTTTCACATCACTATTTCATCACTATGGTTGAATTTCAGTGAAGACAATGTTCCGGAAGCAACAACAAAATCCGTTTTGCGATCGAACATCGTCTAGGCAACGTCGCGCGCCAATTTCTTTGCTTTTCCCATCGTTGCCTTCGGACTGCGCTGATTTTGTCATGTGACTTTCATTGACAAAATTGATAGTGATTTTTTAGTATTGACAATGTTTCAGACGCAAAGGCGAAGTGCGTTTTGCGATCGGACATCGTTTATGCAATGTTGCGCGCCAATTTCTTTGATTTGCATGTGTTGCCTCAAAATGCATACTGATCTTCTCAAGCGACTATAATTGCTCAAATTGACTGTCACTTTTGGGTATTGACAATGTTCCGAACACAACCACAAAGTCTGTTTTGCGATCAGACGTCGTTTGGGCGATGTCGCACATCAATTTCCTTGGCTTGCTTATCATCGCCACGGGATTCCTGTTGTCGCATCGGATGACCCCAATTGAACAGGTTGACAATGATTTTTGTGTGTTGATGATGCTCCAGATGCAACAGTGAAGTCTGTTCTGCTATCAGACGTCTTTTCGGCAACATCACACATCAATTTTGGGTGTCAATCGTCCCCTTGGACCAATCTCGTTCGATTTTACTGTGAGGGGTTCCCACTTAGGCGATTTTGATGTCCTGATTGCAGATGCACAGTCGGTTTGACAATCAGAGGTCGTTTGACCTTTTAAGTGATGCGTCGCATCAACACGCGCGTTTCTTAAATCGTCGCTTTTGCCTCTTTGTGGGTGTATCGATGTGTTGGGGTCAACAGAAAATGAAATATTGATAAATAAATCCAATAACAATACAGTGACATGTGTTTTTTGTGGCAAAAAAACAAAAAGAGGAATTACACGCCACAAATAACACATCGTTGGGGGTTTTTAGGAATGCTAGACCTTATATATCAAATATTTGAGTATTGTTTACTTGAACTTATATATGACTATGGTTGTCTTTCATTATTATTGTTAAAATCTAGTTGTTCAACTACAAACAAATCCAACTGCTACAATGGTCAATCCGTGGGATGCAAGACTCACAGTAGAATGCTTTCCATATTCGAGGAGCTAATTTATAAAGGATTATATTATAATTATTTTGTAATTGTTTATTTTTGTATTAAGATATCTTGTATAGATCTATAAATAGGGAAGAAATCATGGAATAAAGCTAAGTTTTCCTTCTCATACCTCTATTTTTAACATGGTATTAGAGCCAACAACCTTCATTGTCATTGTAGAATGATCATATAGATCATCGAAGGAGGAAAAGAAGAAGAAATTGAAGCATTGCCGAAGACGGAAGCCGCAGACGAAGCCCCTGAGACGGAAGATTACCGACCGACATCAAAGCGGAGTG